CACCCTGTGGGATGGGTGACCTCTCTTTTTACTGCACTTAGGTCAGCGGTGGGAGAAAAGATAGAAGAAGAAAGAAAGAAGGAAGGAGAAGAGGAAGATACACCAAAGTGAGTGTCGCACACGGATCCCAGAGGGTTGGGGTCTGTGTGCGACACTCCGCCTTTGAGGGGGTTGCACCTTCTGCAGGCGAAGCAGTGGGTCTATTTATATCCCCCCGACCCACAGGGGGTATCCTTGTGAACGGAAGCCTCACTTGTTTGCAATGCCTTCTTAGAAGACGGACTTTCTTCTTATTAGATCTAAACGAAACTAATGAAAAACTGAAAATTAGACTACAGTGATTTCATACTCCTTAATGTAACTATGCACCTTTTAAATGATTCTAAACCACAGTTATTTTATGGGCATCAAACGAAAGGATCACAGTCGAATTTAGCACAGAGTATAAAAAAGAAAACATGAGGCTAGATCTATACGGGTCGCTTAGTATTGCGCGAAAACGCGCGATAATATCGAACGGAAGTACGACTTGAAATAAACAAATCTGGCGGATTTTCTAAAATTACAGTGACAGAAGCGTCGGCCTACAAAAGCGATCGGCGAAATAAAGAAATTCAGCTATTTGCGGCAAAACTGTCTAAAAACCGGAAAAAAACAAAGGGCGTCATGATCTGGAGAATGTTTTAAAGAATCTTTTGGCGAAAACCGTATGTCGATCGATGTAGCCATTAAAAAGCCTTTTGAATAGCAAAATTCGGCGACCGCAGATAATGGATGTGTAAAAGAGCATTTCTGATGGATCGCTCAAAGACAGTACGAATGCTATCGGACTCTATTTGGGTGTGCTGTTTGCGAGATACTTCTGTTCGATAGTAATGTTGAGCTCACGAGCTAGAGCTGATATGGCACTGGCGAGTATAAATCTTTTTAATTTGGTAAAGGCATTGTGTGCAGTATATTCTGCCATAGGTCTTGGCAACCAATCCGAAGTAGTCTACGAGGTAAGACGAAAATCTGTCGGAAGTCACGTCCAGCTTCCACCTCATGCCAGACAAAACATTTCATGTCCCCTGTTGTCAAATTGCAGGCAGTTACGTTGTGCATATAAAGCTATGTTCCATAGGTCAAAGCAATACCTCGAGTGTGAGACGCAACAAGATACACATGATGCCCACTTATTCGATTATTCCTTTGTTTGGATCTCCAGGGCTGTCCATTTCTTTCTCTTGCCCCGTTGTCTCTTTGCTTCTATTTTTCCCTCAATGTGTGGCAATAAAATGTATTTTGGTCTAGTCCAGTAATTAACGTTTTAGGGCATGTTTGACACCGCCTCCTGGCTGAGTTTCGATCGTGTCGATTACAAAGGTGAAAATTAAAAACCCAACACTGTGAAGAAATTTTAGTAGACTAGATTGAACTTTGTAACAATGTTTTCTGTCCCATGGGTAGTGTAATAGCCGATTATAAATTCATTCTCTCCTGATGAGCATCAGAATCTCCATCAGCAGTCTTCAAAATGCAATTTACCCTTTTGCTGTCATCAGAAAGCCTAAATGTGCACATATTTTAGGCACATCCAAAAATGACAAGGTAACTCTCCAAGATGAAGACTTTTGTCCAAGCACAGATGACCCCCACCACCGCAATAAGTGGTCATGTGGGTGGTTATAAAGCACTCATAAATTATGCTGCCCAGGAGAGTACGGCTACAGACGTTTTAATCTGTGATATTTGATGGCCTGCAGGCAAGGGATTTTATCTTTAATTACTTTTTTCAACATTTAGAATTTGAATTTCAACAAAACATTTATCAAACACATTGAACCTATGTCATTGACCAAGAAACTGAAAAAAAATTGAAAATGTTCCGCTTGTGACATTTCATACTATCAGTTGGCCAACGTTACGTAAATACAAACATACATTAATTAATTAATATATGAACACATGGATACACAATATCACAAACAACATCTGCTTGTTGCCACTAGGCAGAGTCAGGTTTTTGAGCTGGGATTACCATGCATTGCTCAAGGACACACCCAAGTGATCGCCCACGTAAGGGCGAACACATAGAGAAAGCCGTTCGCTCATGCTCACGTAAGCGCACTGCCCGAGGGAGTGAAATTAAAAGAATTCCCAAATGAAAACCGTTGCGTCAGAAATAGATAAAGCTGTCATTGAGGACGCGCCAGTGAGGAGTGGCACTGACGTTTTCTCGCGGAATCCAAACTACATTCTTTCCAAGGCCGTCCAAACTTGTTTTCACGTTGCAGTTGTACCAAAGCAGTGCTTCTACTTACGCCTACAGTTTGACGTAGCAAGTGATTCAAACATGGACACAGATGCGTTTATATCATCAGTGTACGTTAGAACTCCCGTTTGGGACAACGAAGTCCACATTGTACATGTAATTTTACTTGTAGGATACGAATAAAATGTTATTGAAAGCCGTACACTTAAAACTAAATGATATAATATGAAGATAATGATGATAATGATGGCGATTGTAGAACCACGCCCTGCGCCCCC